TAAATAAAAAAAAAGCATTTATTCCATTTTTGACAGCTTAACGAATGCCCTACTCTTTTGCATTGATTTTTGTGTGTATGCGTGTCTGTGTGTGTGCACGTGTGCCTGGGAAGGATTTCTCATGGGGTTTGCTGTAAACAAGGAAAGCTAAGTCCTCTGCCAAAGCTCCTTTCACTACCTTTATATAACCTCCACATTAAAATGTTTTAGGAGAGAATATATACAAATATACTGTGAATGCAAAAAATAAAGACCAATTACTTACATCCCAGCAAGAATACTGGAAATTTGTAGGACGAGACAGTAAACAATCAAATACCCCGATGTGGCAAAACAGTCACAGAAGTAGCGTACTGCTTTCAGAAAATAGCAGTAAATTCAAAGAGCAGGGTCAACAAAGCCCTAAAATCTTAAATTCATGACCCATTCCAGAACACAAATTTTCCTTACACAACCAAAGGCTCATCTTGCAAGGCAAAATATGCTAACAAAAAAGTCTGCAAGCACCTAGAGATAGAAAAATAATGCATCTTAAAGAGAATTGTGCCACTTAGAATTTCTAAACACTTTAAATTGAAATACTCTGCCCAGTTAGATCTCTGCTTTAATGGTGTTCCTAGTTCCTAACAGAATGAACTCTGTATAATTTAAATGGAGATTAATTCTTCCATTTAAAGTGCTTTAAAATAATTCTGCCTATGATCTTGAGATCTCAGCCCAGCTTCTCCACAGTGCCTCTTCTCCAGTTTTCCTTGAGCTACATAAGCAGAACTGACAGATCACTGCTCAGATAGCAGCCACGTTCTTCCCCCAAAATGTTGCCTTTTTGCTATTCAGGAGTATCCTAATACCAACAAATGCTAAATGAAGTCTGACATGTACCCCTAAGAAACAAACTTGTAAGTTGTGGCTTCAAAGAAAACCTTGAATAAATAGGACACATTGTGTACACCCAGGCTAACATCCAACATATGCTTTAGTTTCCCGATGCTGAGACAGAGCAAGAATAGCCTCTGGTGAAGTCTGTGATTTGCTGTTGCTGGTACTTCCAACATTTATAATGTACCATTTTTTTTTTCTTTTGCCTGTATAAACAATTTAAAAAAATGTAATTAAGACGACCACAGCAACATTTCAGAACACAACATATTAATGAATAATGGATTATTTGACATGCCACTAGTTTGATCAACAATTAGAAAACAAAGAGCTTTCCTGATTTTTCCTCTGCAAAAGAGCATTGCCACCAAGAAGCCATAACTGGACAGGGGGGTTATCAAATAAAACGTAACCTGCATAATGAATGTTTTTAATTCTTCCCTTTGGTGGTGGTGATCAACATGCCAAACAGCGAGATGCTGCTTGTGGGTGCTATTAATGACAGCAGATACGAAGACCGTGTGATAGAGACGGGAACAGAGAAAAGCAAGAAAACAAGATAAAACTACATTTAACTGCACATATAGAATCAGTTAAGACGCTTCATTCTTAAAAGGCCAATTTATTTATTCATTATTTAGGGAAGACAGAGAAGGGACGGACTGAGAAGATAAAGATATGACTTACTTTAAGACTCAAATATATATATATTTGCTGTTATTTAATGCTCTAATTTATGACTAATCCTTCTGAAAGAACTAAAAGGAGTTGAATTCAATCTTGTTATCCCCTTCTCTACTGAAAGTGCAATTCCCTTTCCCTTTTGTGCTCCATTCCTCCAGATTTAGGGCATGAAAGTATATCATTGCAATTCAAGTATAATAATTTGCAAGATCTAAAGTGTGCTTGCTGAAACATTATGACTTAAAACAAGTATACTGTGGACAGAACACAGGTTAATTGATCAGGATAAAATAATTAATGGGTTACAACACAGCCTGAGCCTACCTTGGGCCGTAGGCTGACCTACAGAGGAGTCACTGCAGACCAACTTCGGTTTGGAAACGGGGCACGTCAAGAATTGATTTCACACTGTAGATTTCTTCTGGATTAGGTGCAGCCTAACGAACTCACAAATTTGATACTTTAGTCCTTCAGAACCACTTTATTCTCTAGGAAATTGAGGTTTGGTGGAGCTTTGAGAGTTGCTTCAATTTTTTCACTGCAAAACACTATTTATTTAAATTCTGCATAAAAAAATGTGGATAACTAAGCTGTAGTCTTATAAGTAAAGCAAAATAAGGCCAGATACACTAGGATGGACAAGTAGTTTCACTGGCAGCAAAACTTTGAGTCTATTTTTGATGTCTCTCACCAAATGAGTCTCCCAGAGCACTGCTGGCACTGCAGCTGTTCTCTGGAGGAGAACGGCACGAGCCTCTGCCAGCTACCTGATCTTAGGAACCTCGTACGAATAACGGAGTGATTACACAAACCTCTCTCTCCACGAAACTGCTCTTCAGCATTTCACATGCTTCCTTTCTTTTTTTTCTATTTGACACTTCTTTGTTTCCGACGTGCAGAGCGTGGGGTTGTTTGCTATTGCTCGGGAAGGGAACAAAGCCATCAGAGACACCTCTGTCAGTCAGGGTTCTGCACCGTACTGCTGCAGAGATGTTTTCCACTAAAAACCCACATGGTATCTTGGTGCTGAGATCTCGTTTATTGCAACACTGTTTAAAACAATTATTCAGCCTTAAAATTAGTCTTCAAGTTTCTGTGATATCTTGTAAATGTGTATCTTTAGAATACTGGAGTGCTAAATAGCTGTGATACTTCCAAACTATCTATTTAATCAGAAAAAAACTTCAATAGATTATAAATAGATTTCAAGTTATAGTGCTCTTATGAGAGGTGTAATTACAGTTAAGAGAACCACTTCGTTCTTCTTGCATGCTCCTGGGATCCCTTAAAACAGTCTACGGGATAGCTTATGATAATGAAAACATAAATCTGAATTACTTCTATGTATGCTGTATGTAGCAGCTCTTGTTACAGCATACAAAAAATACCACATAATCCCATCACAAATTTTGCTTATAAATAACCTCTTATTTCCTCTAGACCTTAAAAATAAGATAGAGATGATGCAGTCTCCATCAGAGATAAAGGATGGACTTATTTTTACTTAAATCTCACCCTACTCCTAAATAAGGACCTACACATATATATTCCTGCACAAATATATAAATTTGTTTTTTTAGATTCTGCTGGGCTCTGTATGAGACAACTTGCAATTATCAACATGCGCTTTTGCCAGAAGCCTCATAAACACTATCTGAGTCCAGTGCGTTTCGAGCGTCCCTCCTACTTCTCCCCAGCACAAAAGCCCCTATTGATAACCTGATGAATAGTGTAAATGCAGTTCTAAAAAGGGAAAAGAACTACCTTTATAATCAATTTGGTGTGAAGACCTTTCTGGCTGCCAAAAGGTCAGAAACTACATCTTCAGGTAAAAGCTAACTAGAACTGTACTAGTACTGAAGTAGATCAGTATTTAAGCTATTTATTCTTTGGAGGGCTCCTCCAAGCCTGCAATGAATCTATGGCTTTTTGCCCTACCCTGAACGCATTTGACATTTCGATATTACCTAGCAGGCCCCATTACCAAGAAAGTTTTACCAAAACTTCGTGTCTTGAAGGGAAGTGGAAGAGGAATGGAGAAGGAGGAATACCAGTCTCACTAAAAACACATCGTGAAACAGCGTAGAAGTGTGATGCAAAGAAAAGATACTCCATCTTCTCAATATGCCAACATAACCAAGCGCATCAGGAAAGCGGTTACGACAGTACATCCTGGTACTCAAACTTCAGCTCTGAACTTCCCAGCATTTCAAATTTATACTAGTTCAGTATTTCTTAAATACTGAAGTTCTGACAGTTTGGGGACGTAACCTGCATGACGTTGAAAAGCATCGAGATATAGCAGCTTGGATAAAGCTCAAGACATGTGTACATCAACACAAACGTTAATATTCCAGACAAGCAAAGTTTCTAGGTAGTCACTTGTCAGGTAAGCCAACTAAGCCTTCCCCATTTTGTTTCAGGTTGCCATGTGTATCTGTAGAGTCTGACAGGACAGAGACAGAGTTAAACTCTTCGCTTACAAGATCCACGGCGGGACCTGTTGCAATACAGCTGGGCTAGGGACTTATTGCTACTTATTTCACAGAACAAGGCAAAAAGGCTTATCCACTCTTACAGTAGAACAGGAGTGAAGCTCCTTCCAAACACGGATACGCACGAACACTTCCGACTGCAACACATTCTATTAAATCATCATTCTATTTCGAATGAACATCGAAAGATTTGCAGAAAGCATCTTTGTTTTCTCCCACTCAGACACCGATTTTGTGTAAGTGTTATACACAAACATGCCTAAAACTAGCTGCTACAACAGATTAAATAACTCAAACTGGAGGCATTTTTCCTCTCATGAATTTACAACCCTTTACTTAAAGGGGTTTTAACAGAAACCATGTCTTATAGCAATCCCTGGTATTTGATTATCATTACAACAAATGCTGTCTTTGCAGAGCAACCAATTTTATCAGTGATACAAAAAGTAATTGATCCAAGCCTCATCCAAGCCAGGGCAAGAACCACAACCAGCAGCCAGGTCCTCTAGACAGGTTTGAAGTTATTTGCACCCTGAAAGTGCTACAGCAAATCACTTAACATTCCCAGAATGATCACACTTTCTTGACTTATGGTACCCCAGAAGAAGCATTCAGTCTGAGAAGCGTACAGCAAAATCACGCGCAGCTGGAAAGTTGTAGGGAATCACCCCAACACTAGAAAGCTTTCACATAACACTACACCTACTAGCCAGGAAAGCTACATGTTCTCTCCTACATCCAGTAAGTTACTGTCATGAAAAACAGAATTTCTCTACCAAACTAATGCTTCAGATGCAAGTTGAATCCTTCAAGTTGTTGTTCTTCCCTTCAGAAAGTCAATGATCTACAGTAGATGTACACAATCTACAGTTTCATACTGGTGTTTCTCCCCCCTCAGAACACAGCACAATGTAATAACAAGAGCACAGAAAGGCAACGTACCATCATAGTAGACAATAGCTCCAACAAGCTCGTCTTTACGTAGCATTGGAAAGAGCTCCAAGGCTCTTGACTTGCTGAGGACATAACTACTTTTCAGACATTGACTTCCGGCCACAATGTCGTATAGTTTTATTCCAAACCAGTAGTACGGCAACTGCCACCATCTGCAGGAAAAAGAGTAATTCCCCATGAAATGAAATAAAAAAGACAAACATAAAAGCATACACAGAAACTGGTATTGGGATATAGAACACGTTAAGTAACTTGGCAGTACTAGGTTAATGGTTGGACTTGATCTTAAAGATCTTTTCCAACCTAAACGATTCTATGATTCTACGTACTGGAAAGAACAGCAAGTAACAGCCTGGGAATAAGAGTTCATTCCAGCTGCAAACTCTGCTCCTCCCCACGCTGGGGTGGCACAAACACAGGGAACAGCGGAGGTCCAAGACATGCTCCTAGGCAGCAGTGATAGCTGGTTGGCACCCCAAGAGAATTTCCTGTTTCTACAGTACGGCAACACCTCACCACCTGACAACAATGCTTGTGTCGGGTTTAAAGACATGCTTGGAAAGAGGCACCGGGAAACTTCCCCAGGGAAATAGCTTGCTTGCCAAAAGCAAGGGTAGAGGAGAGATATTATAGCAGAGCTTACTTGTAAACAGGCAGCATTATCGGCAAAGGAGCTGACAGGTGAGGAGCAATCTCAAGCAGATTTGCACGCTCCTCAAGCGCTTCTTTCACCATCTTGTACTGAAAGATAGAAGTGTACATGTGAATCCCACGTTACTCAACTTTGTCTCCATGTGCAACATTTAATAAGAAACTTTAAAAATTATGAGAGGTATTTGCTTTGATATTGTTCTTTCAAAAACACACTGAGATTTGCTGAAAGATTCAAAAGTTAAGGCAAATGTTTCCCGAGAAAATTAAGTTTCGCTAGTTTCATTTTGGTGTCTTGGCAGGTCAGCTGAATAGGTTTTCATTTGAACGTAAAGCACAATAAGCCGTGTTACTCCTAACTATGAGCAGGAGGCACTTAATGAGGGTTACAACCCATCTCATGGTATAGCTTCTGTGCTGATTCCCACAGTTAAATCCTATACTAACTCTGAATTGCAAGCGCAGAAGTGTTCTTCTCCAAATCAATCAATATGACGTTGCTCTTTGGCAAAAAAGAAGGTTGATTTCTATAGCTGGATAACTGCATGTTTTATACATTTTTTCCCTAAGAAGTCACTGTTTCTGCAGCAGTATTATAACCATTAAAATATACTTCAAGTTAGAGAGGTTTCAATGAGAAGACAAATTAATTTCTCAAAACAAGAATATCAGGCTTCCACCAACACAAGAATACATAAAAGCATTTATATATAATCACTTGTTTACCATATTTTCTATCCCCATTCCAAAACAAACAGGATGACCACTCACCCCCCCAGATTCTGATTGTGGCAGGTAGGAACCTCTCTGTATTCTGAGGTCAGTCCCGTCTCTGCCTTCCTTCCCCAAAAGATACACAGGCTACAACATATGGCAATCAGATTGCCCATAAATGAATTTAGCAAAAGGCAGCAGCACTGACTTCCCTAGTCTGGAAAGCTCAACTGGAGGAGACACTTTCTATGTACAGCGGCTGTAGAATACAACAGTCAAGTATGGAAAAAATAAAAAGGAGTCTTGGATATAATTGGGATAGGGGAAGTGTCTACTAGCAATTTTTGCTTAACAACCAGCATAAACAATTACCTGCTCAAAATCCAACTTCATGATGGCCTTCTGAAGATATCTCACTCCACCATGGATCAATTTAGTACTCCTGCTGCTGGTCCCTGATGAGAAATCATCTCTTTCTAGAAGGGCTGTTTTTAGTCCTGTGTTACCAGAAAACCAAATTAACTTCTTAAATTACACAATTTGTATGTAATTCATTAAAGACACTTCTCTGGGGTAGAGACAATCACAAGAAAAATTACTCTGTACATGGATAAATTTGTATTCAAAGTGTAGTGCACTGTCTATATTGTAATGAAAAATTTTAGCCTCCTTCCTGAGGGAAAAGTCAAAACAGAACTTAAACAGAAGCACATTAAAACCTGGATATTTCACAATAGAAAGGCATTACAGTACATTATAGGGGCCATGCTCCCTCAAGCAAATTATAGTTCGTATTCATGGCAGGAACAGAATATTTTCATGAATACTTTTAACTCTTTGCAGCAGAGCTCTAAACCTATCACACTAATGATTTAAACAGCAGACAACTGGCATCTTTGCTTACTTACAGCCTGCATAAGAGGTGCCCAAAGCCAGAGGAGAGCCAGCCATGGGCATGCTTGCTGCTCAGGGAGAGCTCATCAGAGAACATGACGCACACAGCCATAGAATTCTGCATATACATTAAATTGTTTGATAATTGAGGCTTAATACAAAATATAGTAGCTTACCTAGGAAGCATAGCAAAGTGAAAAAGTAAGTTCATCTACAGTTTACTATGCAGATGCTACAGTGCTCGCACAGCACACAGGCATCCTCCTTTTACACATTACACGTGCAAAGGGCACGCACACACAAAACATTAGTTAGGAGATACTGCCAAGGACTTCAGATAAACGTTTACTCCAAGACACGCATGCATGTTCCCTGACACGGGTGGGTGCTGGCAGTTTGACCGGCACAGGGAGGGATAACCACCCGCCTCATGGATGGGCACACAAATCCAGAACAAAGCACTTTATAATCGAGCGATAGAATGCTTATTCTAACAAACACTTGGAACGGCCTGGCACATTGTTGCACAAGTCGTGTTCCCGGTTTCCCTGAAGGCCAGGAGAAAGCTCTCCATGGGCGGAGGCACACTGCTTCATACGGAAGTCGCTATGAAGCCACAGACCCCAACACTGTCTACACTACATCCCTTGTACAAGGGAAGTGCCGGGATCTTCTTTGTAAAGGAGACTGACACTGGGTTATGTCATGGAAGTGACGTGAAAGGAAGAGTTGCAGGAAACAGATGATTAACAGATGCCTTTTAATGATAAGATACAGGCAACAGCCTGGCCACATCCTTCGGCACATACGTACAAAGCCAGCCACCACTGACTTCCAACATCCAGCGTGAGTAAACCCAACCAAGATAAGCACCGTAGGACTAGTACATGGCAATCTTTCACTTAAAATGCACATGGAAGGACAAGCTGCATCACAGAAATTAGCGTAACAGACCCCCTCCATCACTGGCAGAATCTTAAAGTTAGGCAGGCAAGGCAAAAAGTGAATTAAATTCAGTGACATTGCTACCAAAACCACCAGCAACAACATGATGATGCATACCCAAGGAGAAGAGCATCACCTGCACTAGAAGTTATCCCCTGGGTCTCTCCTTCGCCCTTTGAGGGGTGCTTTATGTTACTGGGCAGTGAACAGACATTTCAACATCTATTGGTCTCCCAAAACTTTTATGTCCTTAAAAAAATCTAATTATTACTGGTAACTTCCAAAGATCAGAGTAATTTATTTTTGTCACATGTGACTGAAGATTAATGGATACAATCAGAAATAATTTGGTGAAGATATATCAAACACATGAAAAGCAAAATTTGTTGTTAAGCGAAGCAAACATAATAAAAGAGCAAGTTCCATGAATGAACAGCAACAATACACAACTCATTAACCAAATGCCTAGGAATATTTCACACTTCAGAAATCTACTGATATAATCAGAACATCTAGTAAAAGGATAAACATAGATTACCTATAACTTCTGTATGCTTTACAACTGCATTTTCTACCACAATCTAGCAGAGGCAGAAGTGAAAAGATCCCAAGTTATCTTTAATAATACATGAAAAAAATTAATAACCAGATTTGAGTTTGTATGTTTCTACCAACGGTACAGACCTTACTGCTCTATTTCAAAACTATCACACCTTCTGGACAAGTATTTTCCAAATCAAGCTACAAAACACTCCTGGAGTCAGGTTTTGCCTCTTGTTTCTGAGGTACATCTACAGGTTAAAGAATCTGAAGAACTTTATGGCTATCTACTATGTTTTACACTAATTTTTTTTCCATTTTAGTTCCAAAATCAGAAACAAGGTCTACAAATGCAGAAACTAAGGAAGGCTGGTTCTCTCTCTCGTGGGCTGATTGTACTCAAAATAACAACTGAGAGAATACATTCCAAGACAAGCTTTTCTCACAAAACTTTTACATATTTTTATCCAAAAAGCTATGATGTTCTGGGAGAATATAACATTTTGATAGAACAGGAGTTGTTACTACAGCCTCTCCTGTAGAAACAGTACCCATGCATCCCCACCTCTGTGTCTGAAGATCTATTTTCATTAAACTTGTAAAATTACTTACTCTTTGAGAGCTGTCAGATGTGATTTAACCTGCTGGCCCTTTTCAAAGTTACTGTGTGAGGTGGGCACTGGGGTCCTGCTTTTTCAGCCCTGAACAGAGCTTCTCGTGCCCGACCGACTGCGCAAGCTATTGGGCAACACCTGCACATCTGCTGGGCAACACCTGACTGTCACCACACACTCTCATCCTCCTGCAGAGGATTAAACTCATTTTACCTTGAGTTTTCTGTAAGTTAAGGCTATGCATAAAGTTAACATCAATTCTGCTGCTTCGTAAACCAGTGACACAGCTAATCCCCACGGGAGGGCAATCGGAGCACAGATCCCCTATACATACCCTCCAACTGGACGGTGCTTGTGCCTTCCATTGACAATCCCAACAGACTTCTCCAAACCTGCGATGTGCCAAGTAGCTACAACCCATTAGCAGAAGTCACAGACATCTCATGTTATAAGAAACATGAGCTGGAGAGGCACTGTGCCTCGGCCAGAATTCACACTTGGCCCTTTCTAAACAGTTGCTAAAAGCGGGGTGCAAGGCTTGTCTTCTCTCTGGTGCAGATACTCTCCTGCACAAAGAAGTGAGAGGTGACTACGGATAACCCACTAGGTGAGGAGCAACAGCGAGTGAGAAGCCCATCCAAGAGGATCCACAAACAGGTTGTTTATACAGCTGCATACAAGCACCCAGACAATAAAGACTGCTGAAACAACAAAATGCAGTGACGTCTTTTCTTCCAGTTCATTTTAGCTTCTGAGAACGTAAGTTTTATAACCAGGCATTCAGAGTACACCTTCTCTATCTCCAAGTACTTTTGAAAAGCCAATCTGATAAATTTATTATAAACCATGTAATCCAAGAATAAGAATGCAATTAAATTTTCAAGCCTTACCTCTAGTGACTGCATCTAAAGCACAGCCACATCCCGTTGCTCCTCCACCTATAACAAGGACATCAAATTCACTTGTGGTTTGCAGTGTCAAAATTTGTTCTTCTCTTGTGGGGAAATGGTTCCTTATTGGAACGGTTACAGCCTCCGCAGCTTGAACATGCACAAAGGTACCCTACAAGGATTGAAAACAAAACATGAGGATCTGTATTTGTGTATACACACATGTATGTGTACACATACACACAACCAAATCACAGCATTTGCTGTAACCATAAAGGTAAACTCAAATATTCCCAGTCACTTTACCTATATTTAATAATAATATTGTATTAAAACATTATGGAGCAACAAACAGTACTAAAACCATAAAGGGTTAGCGCACACTTACTTCACCTTGCCTACTTCTGTACAATGCTGTTTCAAGTGCTACCACCTATAGTAATTATTTCTAGGAATAGTCTTCTGCTATGTCAAATGCTACAGGATGCTTGGGAAGTATTTTAATAGTCAGGCTCTCAACTGTCTACCAAAAAAAATCCCCCAAAGCAAAGGACTTAAAGATGAATGTACATTTTGTATTTTGAAATTGATTACTTGTACAGTGGCATTAATCTAAGCTCAAATAGATCAGGTTCATGAGACAATGTGGTTTACCATCAAATACAGTATACTAAACCACCAAAGAACCATGATTTCCATATCCTTTTTGAAAATCATCTATGCAAAGCAATTGATATCCTACAGCATGCTAAAATACAACTTTTCTTTAAAGTGACAGAACTTAATGATGCAGCAGTTTCCAGACAAGTTCAGATTTTACTGGACTGGCTTTGAGAATCCCTCCCATCCTCTGCCCGATGTTCCACCAGCCACTGCTGCTCTCCATTTAGCGACCGTGGTGAGAAAGGCTGACGTGCTTGCTCGGGCAACTAGTATGGACCATGGTTTACACTTTAAGGTTTTAACCAGTTTCTGAAGGTTCTGTTCTGTTAACATTCATTTAAACTGAATTCTGAAAACCTTTACAGTCACAGGAACCCCCAAACCCTATTACTGGCCATATACTTCATGATCTATGTTACGAGCACCATCGCTGTGCGTTCATGTTCATCACACTAGTTTTAGATACAACGGGCTGTAGGCAGATATCCTAGTTATTCAGACAGTTAAACAGGGTGCAAGACCACAAAGTCACGCTTGCTTTCTCTTTGCTTTCAGCTCTAGCTTTGCTTTTTGCTCCAGCTCTTTTCCTCCCAAGTTTTCCCCATTCACCATTGTGCCTCACTCTGCACAAAACTATACAGTGAGTTTCTCTCACCGCTATTTTTTAAGACCCAAAGGACCCACCTTTTCCACAACAGAGTAATCACCTGTAGTAAGACAAAGCACCTGCATTTACAATATGAGGAGGGAAGTCGAGGTACTGGCTGCTGAGCCAGGACCCCTACAGCACATCCCACTCGGCAGCAGAATCCCCATGACCTCGAGACCAGCGCTTGAGCCAGGTCTTTCAGAAATAACCAGATTCGGGTGCTCTGACTTGCGTTTGATTGAGAGGAGTACTTTTATTAGTACCTAGCACTGCCAAGGGAACCATTTTAACCACTCCTGACTTGAAATACATACGTGAAAATAAATGCCTACACTATCCAGACCAGGACAGAAGAACTAACGGACCGATTCAGAATGGATCAAAATAAACAAGCAGGAAATCAAGAATTAACATTTTCAGTTTCCTGAAAATTAGGAACACTTTCAACACAAGAAAAGTCTGTTTAAACCCTACAGTCTAAGGTCTGAGCATCATCCAGTTTTTACTCCAAACAGCAGACTTAACTGATGTAGAACAGCTTGTGTGCAGATCTCCTAGACAGGAAAGAGTAAACTAATAGAAATTCAAGTGACAAAACACAAAATACTACTTTCTTACTATTATCTAAAACCATCTGTGTAATCTCTTTCCATCCACTGCTTACAATGTGCAAGGAAGCTCTCTCAAATATTCCTTGAATAAACTGAACTAGGCAAGTTGTTCAGTTACAGAACTAACTTTATCACTTATTGAACTGTTCAAAATTATTTGCTCATTCTTCACCAGTATTATGATTGAAATGCATTATTTCTCAGTGTTCCTATCACTACCATAAAACAAAATAAAATCTAATAACTAGTAGCCATATCTAAAGGAAGTGCATAGTCAAAAGATAATTAATCATCAAGTTCATCCTGTAATCACGGATTATATTGCCTATACTGCAAGCAGCTCACACAAGTTACTGAGGATGGCAGCAACCACTTCCATTGCACGTGTGTTACAATTCAATCAGTAAGGGAAGTTGGACTAGAGAAAGTGTGTCACTTGATATAAAGGATGCATATCTGCCTAGAAATGAAGTGAAAATTAAGATTTAAACTAATCAAAATTTGGTGAATTATGTCTCAGGCTATAGCATCACAGACTTTTCCCAGGCACAGTGCTTGTGGTTTCTGCTGGGGTCACCCCCAGCCCAGCCAGCACCGGGGCTCGGGCTCCCATCCAGGCGCGTGAGCAGCTGCATTAAGCACTCGGCCAACTGTGGCCCAGGCTTACGCACCGACTGCAAATGCACGGTAACGAAAGGTCTCCTAATTAGAGGCTTTTTAAACCCGCCACAGCCCTCAAACAGAGACATACACACCGCCAGCCCCAGGAGTTCAAGGAGTTCTGACACGCACACAGACAGCGGCGAGGTTGAGTCAAAGCGAAGCAGAGAGGTGAATCTCGATGAGCCTCCCAATTCCAGCCTCCCCTCGCTCTCACCTGTTTGCGAACCAACATGTGGGAGCTGGCGAGGATCACCAGATGAGTTTCAAACTTTCAGCACTTCAAAGAAATTCACCTTCCACATTACTTTTCTGACCAATGAATTGTGTACATTCCCACCTGCTTTTGCCTCTCACCCTGCTCTCTCCCCAGCCTGCTCGTCTCTAGCAGCGCTAAAAACTTTTACATCCCCCAAAGCATGGTAGAAACTTTTACATCCCTGAAGTATGGTAGACCGATGTGGTTCCAGAATGTGTTTTTCCAGGGAGTGACGGACACAAGAGGGGAAACCCTGAGAGGATCCAGCTGTTCCTGCCTTTGCTCCTTGCTCCGTGACCGGACACAACCCTGCTGTCCTGTGCAGCTTCGGTGCGAGCCCTCCGACTGTCCCGGCAGCGGCTCTGCACAGTTCCCCTCCCAGAATGGGCAAGCAAGCAGCGCAGGGAAGCCATTCCCCTTCAATACCTGAAATCTGTGAGAAGGCTGCAGCTTTCTGGACTGCACAGCAAGCGTTACTGGCTGGCTCCCCATACGGCCTCTGGTCCCTCCTCGGGAAGCTCTTGCATTAAGCACGCGGTTTAGTGCCAAATTAGGGAGCACAGGCAGACGGCTGATGCCAGCTTCCCGAAATACCACTCTGCGACTTGGAGACAACAGTGACAAGAAGGAAATGGTGAAGACCAAAACCACCTGTGGCTTAGTCTTGCATGTGTTTTGGTTGATCAAGTTCAGCTACGCATGCTCAACTTTCTTAAACTTTAAAAAAGTTAAAATCCGCATCTCAAAATTAGTGTTTCCAGACATGCCTTCTCCAGCAAAACAAGTGACTATTTTCAAAGTGTACAACTTAACTTCAGGAAAATAAGAGGATACGAGAAAACCAAAATTCAGAGTTTGAGAAGTACTAGCATCATTTGGTTCTGACCATATTTTTGTTTTGCTTTTAAACATGTTACGTACAACAAATGGCTTATAGTAAACACAGACCAGAGTCCCAAGCAGATAGCCACCGCATAGCAAGAGCTGAGAGATTAGCACTGAAATATAAGGAAAGCGATTAGCGCACTAGGAATTGATATAGATATGATTCATCTTGCTGTCAATTAAATGAGAGAGTGAAGAAAAGCTGCATACAGGGATTCCATCTGCAATAACGTGATTAGTTTGGCAGTGAACAAGTATGTTTACTGAAATAAGCAATTGCTGTTTATATCTACAATTTCTCAGGCAAGAGTTCCTTGAATGGTTTTGATTACACTCTTAGTGAGAAGAAATTTAGTTTGGCAGTTTGAATTCAATCATGAAGTTATAAAGTGATCTAGTAATCCATAAGCAAGCATTCTTGTTAATTTGCTAATGTAAATCTCCAGGTAGGTTTGCAGAGTCAAATTCATCATCCTTATTCATTAAATTAAAAAAAAAAAAGGAAGTAATTAAAAAACCCCGAAGCAGGCCTCAATGCATTATCACATTATCACACTCTATTGGATTCACCTTGATGAGCAATTCCTACTGACCAACAACGTACTTACACACCAAAAGAGCGAGGGATTGCCTGGTGGGCTTAGTTAGGAAAAGACAGCAATCCTTTACAACTCCAGAACAAAGCAATGCTTTTTCCCTAAACGATTACAGGGCTGGCAGGGTGGGGAGAAGAAAAAAAAAAAAATTTACCAGTGGTCTCCAATACAAACTTGGCACATCAAAGAATACTCACATCGCATCTAGCACTAGCCCACGTGGCTCGATGCATTAAACTAAAGGCACAGAAAGCAAGAATACAGCAATGCAGTCAGCATCTACAGGAAGCAAGGGAAACTGGGACTTCCATTTCTCCATCACCACTAGCGTTACAAACACCGGTGAAACAGCTAGCAAAGCCTGTATCACCTTTGCCATGCAGAAATCTGAATATTTGAGGCCAAATCAATCAATTATGTACATAGCCTGTGTATTTTATGTCTTGGAGGGGTGCAACCTCATCTCAGATGCAATTTTTCTTTTCAGGAGCTTGTGATTGGTAGTCAATATAGCATACATGGATTTGAGAGTTCCTGTATTGTTCAAGATGAAATTCATTTCCAGTGGTAGCACTGAAAAAAATGAAGAGTCTCTGCACACTTCTGCTTTACTCAAAAACAGTTCAAGAGGGATCAGTTTCTTTAGACCTCTGCACTACTTGCTGTGAAGAGTTCCCCAACTGTCTCCTTTTCTCTGCAAAAGGGTTTTTCTTGTTAATCTAACCAAAAGCCTCCTTGTCAGACAACGCATTTGCCCTCAACTGCCTAAGCCGGGAAGGCTGCGCTGAAAGCCTGACCAGCTTCCTGACGGGTAACAGTTACTCAGTATGAAAGAACCGGTCCTGTGCATTTACTGAAAGAGGTTTTGCTTAAATTAGTGTCATTCCTACTTATTCCCTTATACACACCATTAAGGCAACCCAGCTGACTAACGTAATAAACATCCCAGTGATCAGGTTACTGCAAAAGACACAGAAGCGCAATTGTCTATCAGCTTATAAGTGAAATTCAACAACTCTGTTATGTCAACACAGGTCCCCATCCTCCCTTTGCTCAGCAAGAACTCTGATGTCAAACCCCCAATTTCCTAAACTGCCTGTATGCCTGCACATGCCTTACCACGATATACACAGTCTCAGGTGATAGTGCCTCAGTTGCTGTTGCAGAAACGTGCTCCAAAATGTCAGCACATGTGTGTGTGTATAGAAAAATATGTTGAGATAAAAATCTCGGAAACCAGGACAGATCTGAATCAAGGAGTGGTTCATTCCCAAGGTGTAAACACTTCACGGCTGTTTGCACGCAGACAAGGTTAACCGTGCTAACTGTGCCATCCTCCTCACAGCCAGGCTTGAACCCTCAAATCTAGCAAGGACAACTTAAATTTCAACATCCAAAATTGCCAATCCACATCACTTTTAATAGACAAGCTGCTTACTAGTATGCTTGACTAACAAATCTGAACTACCTCCCACCCAAGGGCCTGAACTGTACCCCCTTCAGCTTCTCCCCCAGAATTACCTGGGACAGCCAAGTTTCAGAGAAACATGGAACACCAGCTGAGAGAACATGGAAAACAAGGACAGACAGATCAACTAGGCTGCGTGCTCAGGATTATCAGCCAGCCGGGGTCTTTATTCCGTAACTGGGTGCCCCTAATTCCAGGACGCTAGCCACAGCACAGACTTCCAGTCTCTGAGTGAAGCAATACAAACACGGGTAAAAAACTTGAGCATTTCATTTCTGTCTTATTATCTGATGGATTCTGTTCTTGAAATAACAACAGATTTCCTACAATGTGTAGCCAATTAGTGCACATCTTGGGGCAATATCCTTCCCTGGCAAAGGAAGACAAGATCTTTGCCCTAGCACATATTTGATTGGCAGGCATTATTAAAAAGAGGACACTTAGGCTGGGGGACATGCCCACAGCTTAGATATGTCAACACGACAAATGGACTGTCCTCCCTCATGTCAATCCCTCCAGTTATGTTCCACCTGCTGCCCTCTATTAGGTGTTTAAGGCAGCAGCTTTAAGGGACATCACGTGGGAAATGTGCAAGTTAGCACAACATGAAAACAACATGCTGTTCACTTGACAGATCCATTTGCTTACACATATGCTGGCAACTTTCAGATCCTTTGTAGGCTGATTCTACACAATAGGTTTAGAAATCAAGGGACACGTGGTTATTTCATTTTGACACCATGATCACCTTCTATAAAACTTTGGGTTTTAATCTATCTCTGGAAATTCATAGTGGCCATCCAACGACAATCCATTCCCAGAAAGATGGGGATTCCCTGAATTCTGGTATACTGTATATACAACAAGTGAGCTATCCAGATCACTTTTCCCTTCCAACTCCTTCTCTTATTTAACAGTCCTAAATTTTGAAGCTGCCATTTCTGACAGTAATGAAGCCAGATTGTAAAATCCTGTGATAAAGACTCCAGAGAGAGTTAGAAACAGTGTCACCAGCTAGGTGCAAGACAGGCAGCCCAATGGGAAGCTCACTTTAAATGCTAGGTTTTATTTTCTGCAACATTTTTTTCTGAAGCCATAAGGATCCTATCCACTTTCCAGCTAGGTTCCCCAGAAATGACTCATCTCGTTTGCTTTACCAAGACCTCAGCTGCTACTCCTCCTTCCCATAGAAACAACCAGAAGATCCAGATTATCATTTATTCAGATGTAATACACACCTTCCTGGAGCTAAGTGAAGACTGCCTCCCATCACCCACTGTTTTACCTTCAACTAGACCATTAAGATCCACTTCTGTTCCTATTTTCAGTTTGCCCAATTTGAATGGCAACTTATAGTAAATGTGTGGTAACTAAAGCAGTTCACGGAGTAACAGCTTGTCTAGATAACGAGCTGACTGATTACATTTCTAAGGTGAGAAGCAGAAAAGACGACGTGAAAGGAGCACCTGCTCACCTAGCTGCTCAGACTGATACCATCTCAAAGGGAGGAGGTGGTGGTTCCTGGGACATAAGCTGTTTCCAAACCCAGACTGATGCAGGTCAGGCCACAGCTCTGACTACATCTACTTCAACCATTGTACGGAACACTGAGTGCAAGTATTTTTGGCCAAATGTGAGGTGCCAGCCTCACAGCCCACAGTTAACACAAGATCAGAAGACATTTTCCCTTGTACACACCTACTAAGCCCAGACATGGCTATTTTATACAGCTCTAAAGCACAGCACAACTGCATTAAAATAATAGGCACTTAGGTGCTGTAAGACAAAGAGCGGTGGGTGATCCATGCCAGCCTTGCCTAAAACCCATCCATAATTCATGTTCCTTTTACTGATTTCTCCTTGGCTTCTGCATCAAGAAGCAAGTTAAAGAGCACAGCCACTCCGACTCTACTGGGAGGAGCACATATGCCAATGAGATCTATTTCCTGCAACAGCAAGAATCAATCCACAAAGTGACACTAGAATCTACTGCATCTCCTTCTGCTACCACTACTTTACTTTACAGTAAGTCTCCAACATCACCCTTCACTGCTCAGGGAATTTATTCTGTCCATGCGCCTTGGCTACCTGGAAGACACCACTGAACTGTGCCTCGAGCTTACCGGAGTCTACATCGTGCCCACCCGGATAGAGGCCAACGCGCACCAGAAGCAACGGGAGCCTCGCCATTGCCTTCTTCGGCACAGATCCTATCCTCCAACAGTTCTCAGCTTTCTAAGCTGAAGGAGAGCTGCCGCCATGACCGATTTGAAGCTGAGATTTTCAGAGGTGGTACTACTGGTTTCACTTCAATCTTCCAAGTTTGAAAATATTGTCCAAACTCTACTTAGTGCTTATACTTCAATCAGTACTTCTCCACTCCTGCAACTAAGTAAAATCCCTCGTAGTACACAAAGGTCATTTTTTAAACATGAAAAATTATTTACAAGAATCACACTTCCCCACTGGTTGAAGACCTACAGTAGTGAAACATCGTTTAATGCCATCCTCCAGATTAGCACCTACCAAATCAAGCTGAGAGGCTCTTGGCATTCCTTCCCAAACAAAACTATTCGTATAAGCCTAACATACGCTCAAACAGATTTTAAGTTTCATATTTTATCAGAAATCATAATTAATACTTACGTGTTTGTTTCTATACTGAGAAAATTGAGAGAGGCCAAAAACTGTTGCTATGGCACCTCCTCCAATGAGAGCAGTTCCTTTCACTGCCTTCTGAAATGCCATTTTTTACTGTAAGAAAAGAAGATAAAAATTAATAGGCAGTTTTACCATGTTAGAATCTAGGCTACACAGAATAGACCATTTGTAGAAACTAATGACAATGTTGTGACACGTTGAAACTTAGGGTAGCAATATATTAATTAGCTATTTTCATTGCAATATTAATAATTTCTAAACAAAGTCTAGAGAGAGGCAAGCCAGAGTGCTCTGGTATTTGCTGTGAAAGCCGAACGACAAAAGAGTATTTAGATACACAAGTAGATATGTACGCACTCCTCCCATTTAAACTCTAAGTACTCGTCTATGTGACAAGTGTTCACAATACTGTGGCAAAAGCAGATGAACACCCTGTCATCAGCCAGATGGCCACCAAATCCTTATCACAACAGAACAGCTGATCTGCTTGACAAGATCACCTTTAGCTACCCTCCCGTCCCATCAAACTACTTCGACAATCCCATTTGCCTAACAGCACTTCATCCTGCCTTCCAGCCAGGAATTACAATCCCTGTATTCACCGTGTACCAGCAAAGCTTGTCCTACCCAGGAATGGCGGAGAAGCAACGCGCTGATAGTCAGGAAGCAGGTCCTTCAACGAGAAGCAGCAGCAGAGACAGCAGACAAGATTAAGTGGCTTGAAATAAGCTCAGAACTTTATCATCTAGCTACAGAGGGTTTAAAACTAGCCCTATGTGGGTCAGGCAAATTCTTAAAAGACCCAGTGTTCGGATACTGAATGAAAAATTTGCATAGAACTGACCTGAATCTTAAGCAGGCACAACCTAATCCATCTTCGCAGGACCGCGGCAGCTCACATCGCATTCCAAACAACGTACATCAAGCTTGAAGGGCTGCCGTCAGCGCTCCAAGCCCTCTGGTTACGAAGACACCTTTGTCCAAGGCCCAGATTCACCCAGCAGTCTCCACACAAGAGATTTAGCCTTTAGTTAAGGCTGAAAGCAGATGACGTGCACAGCCCCGTGCCAACGCCGGAACTCCAGCAGGCACAGCCCT